CACTGTAGATATATATGTACTTTAAAATTTATATCGTTAAAGTTCTATTCGTTTCATAATAGAACTCTCATGAGTGTTAACTGTTTTTATCATTTCAATTCTCTATATAGTTGTTATTCTTCATTGTCTCTGTTGAATGAAAGATATGTAAAAATGTTTTTCCCAGGACGAGTGTACTGGAATTTGCAAGAATATAAATAATAAATTTTATAACAAATGAAAGCTTATTGAAAATAGAATTTATAAGTGCATTTGATAATCAACCAATAGAATGTATTTTAAAAGATTAATTCAAAGTCAACTAGAAATCATCATTTTCTTTTTTTTATCAAAGTTAATAAAGTTGTTATATCAAAATGTTCGACAAGGGAAGTCCTACAAATTCTAATAGATGCCAAAATATTTTGATCATATCTTGATTGATTTCGAATGGAATTACCAAACTATATTTTGTAACAATTTCGGAAAATTTCATAAATTTTTAGTTTAACATCATTGTTTTTTTGGTCAATTTTTATTTGACATGAAATTTATTATTTTACAATCATATTCATTGAATAATTTCTGAATCAGAAAACTAATATTTAGATTTTTTTTGAAATTTATAACAAGATTAATTGATTTAGTACATGTATTAAATATATAATTCTTTAATATTTAGTTCATCATAATTATGCTAAGTTGAACAGACATAAATAAGAATTTTTTTTTATTAAACTGATGAGATTTCATTTGATTTATTCTTGAATATTGTTTTTCTTGTCAGGTTATGAGTGTAAATATTACCGAGACGATGATTTGTACACCCACACTCACAAAGTGACAGTTATAGAGTATACGGTGGTCATGATCTCAGATGATGACAAAAAAAAATAAGAATGATTTTCTAGAGGTTATTGTTAATTATGAGTAATTGATGTCTCAAAAAACATTTTTGTTAATATGTAGACAGCATTTGAATAAGATTTAAAAAATAGTATTTGTAAAGTTTTACTCAAATAACTAAAATTATTATGATACAATAGAAGCTTTAAAACTTCTAATATGTCTTTTACAGTGATCACTCTATGGAAATCTCCTCATTTCGAAATGTAACATACAAAAAGAACTCATTTAAAAGAAAAGAGATCAATAATAGTAGAATCTATACTCACATTGAATAAAAGAAGTATATGAAACTGTTTGTATTTTCTGAAATCAATAAATAAAAATTTATTTACCATGGAAAACTAAACATCTTTGAAAATTTTCAATAATCTTATTATATGACGATTAAATAGATCAAAAACTTTTAATTTTTTTTTCTTGAATATGATCTTATTTATCAATATATATTTCATAATATCTTTTTTGTTTTTATCAATATACAAAAATGAAATGATCAAATAAAGATCTTATATAATGAATACAAGAAATAAACTAATAGTACAAACAAATACTGTAAATGATATTTCATCAATTGTTGCTTGATCATTTAAATTAACAAGAATAGAATTATCTTTTTTTGAACATGTATTCATCCAGAACTGTACATTTATTGGAATTTCAAATTTTTTTAATTCACTTTGATTTAGTTTTAAATGCATTATTAATCCATTAGATGTATTAACAATTGATAACCATTGATTTTTATATTTGGTACTATTTGGTTGACCATATTTAATAAAATTTGACCATTGTTCAATAATTAATTCACTAAATTCTATTTGTTCAATTGTATAATTTTCTATAGAATTTATTTCATATGGAATATAATTAATTAATGGTATTAAATCATTTGAATAATTTGTTTTTCCAAATAATAATGGTGTACCCCATGTATATTCAAGTTCAGCAAAATGACCAACTAGATTATTTCTATGAAAATAATCATTACATGGTGTTGGATGTTCTTGTGATGTTCGATAAGAATATTCATAAACAAATGTTTTATTTGAATGTTTAATCCGTTGAATAAGAAAACGATAATAATCATTATAAAATAAAACATCACTTACAAGATGAGAATAATTATAAAATGAAGAACAATAACAATCAAGTGATTGAGAACAATTATTTGGAATTTCATTGATATGATATCTATATAGAAAAAAAAAAGATAAGAGAAGAAAGATTTAATAGATTTTTCTCGTTTTGTTTTTATTTAGATTGATATTTATGCATACAATTCTAATGCTTTTTGATATAAACATGTTTTATCTGGTAGCATTGCAGCAAGAAATTTTAGTGAGATTTCAGTAATATTTACATTATCAAGTATTATAAATTCTTGATTAGGTTGTTCAATATGAATAGGTATTACTGCAACGTACACACCTAGAAAGTAAAATCATGAAATATTTAATATTAACTTTATATTCAATATTATCAATCATGTATAACATTATACAAGGCAGTGTCTACATGAAATATTTTTCTGTCGTATTTAGTTTCTTTATCAAATGAAAGCTGTTTCTTTGACAAAACTCTTCTCCTTCTAAAGTATGAAAGTAGTGATCGATTTTGAATTATATATATATATCATTTGATAGGTTTTTCAGTAGTCTACAAAATGATACTATCACGTTCAACTAAATTTATAGGCAAAACACATTACTCAGAAGAACAACATGTTTTTTGGACACTTAAAAAAGTCTATTGAATGATATATATATAATGCGAAGTAAATCACTACTATCATACTACATAACAAGGGAATTCCACCATGACTGTCCTCATATTAGTCAAATGAGAGAGCACTGTTATCCCAAATGAAAATGGAAAACAATAATATTTTGTCATAATCGTATATATATGTCATTCAATCGGAAACAAAGAAGGACTTTCGTATGATACATAAATCAAATCAAAGAAGCTGAACAAGGTAGAGAAGTTTTTCGTGTAAAAATTGCATAGTATAATACTATAGAAAAATCATTAATTAAAATTATATCCTTATGCTAAAAATTTAATTCAAATCATTTACCTTCATCATCAGTAGATCCAATAAGAATATCAATATCTGCTAATGTATCATTTGAATCTAAATCTGTTCGAAATCCATTCATATAATTACCATTAATAACAACATTTGTATGATTAGCACCTGTATATGTATAATGTTCATATTCACCAATCAAATCATAATCTTTTTCACGTAAACATTTTAATTTTTCATCAAATGTTATCATCATTCCACATTGATTATCATCAGCAACAACATTAAATCTTTCTATAGCTTCATTAGCTTTTATATGTGACCAATTATTAAATGGAGAACCACTTTGTAATATTAAACGACGTATTCGACCACGATTAAATGGTGACATAGCTAAATAATAAGCATGTGGTGCACCAGCTGAATGACCACCAATTGTAATACGTTCAATATCACCACCTAATGCTTCACTATTTTCATATATCCAATCAAGTACCATTGATTGATCATATAAACCAAGATTACCTTCTAAACGTTCATCACCTGATGAAAGAAATCCAAAAAGATTAAGACGAAAATTAAATGTTACAACAATAATATCTCCTAAAGCAGCAAGAATTGTTCCATCAAACATATTTCCTGTTCCAACTTGACTTGAACCACCATGAATCCACATAAATATAGGTTTTTTTCTCACATTATTATTATGATTAATTGGTATATAAACATTTAAATATAGACATTGTTCATTTGGTGATGATGTTATAGAAAAAATTCCATAAGTAACTATACAAGATGTTGTTAAAGGATATTTATCATTATTTATTGTACATGAATTTATTGTTGGTTTACATACAGGTCCAAATGATGTTGCATTAATAATTGAATTATTTTTTCGAATAATTGGTTCAGCACGTTCAAAACGTTTATTTATTCGACCATATTCAATACCAAGATATTGTTGAATAGTTATATCACGATAATTAACTGTATGACCAATATAGATACCCGATGTTGTGTTCAATAAAGAAATAGAAGATATTGATTCAAATATTATTAAAAATAATAATAATAGAATAGTTATTGAAGACATCATAAATATCTAATACTGTATAAAATAAATCGACTTTCTTTTCTTCTTTACGAAACAAAAAAAAAAATGTCATATTATCTATTTTCTTATCGATACACATATAATCTCAAAATAAGATTTAATTATGCAATCTATGAAGTTATCATTGTCTTTGTCTAATTGACATCGACGTTCGTTGTAGTTTACGTTGAGAAAAATACTGTCTATATTATTATTTTTTTAAATGTCAACTCTTGATAATTAACAAATCTCAATAATTCAATTACAATTGTTAATTGACAAGAACTTATCAATACATCATTAACTGCTTAATTTATATTTCCTAGTCCATAACGATAGCATCTAGAAACAAGAATTCACCTTTACCTGTAACATACTATATGTTACTATGATATAAATGACTGTGTAGAATAAGCAGAAGAAAAAAACAGGACATCTACGTATTAGAGTCTAAATTAACCAAGAAAACAAAATTTATCTACACTCCATATCTCATCGCATTTTTGCTTTATTATATGACTTAGTACTGTGATTGTATATTTGTGTATCGTAGACAAAGAAATACAAGTGTATACTGAATCACAAAATAGAAATCGTATAAAAAACTGTATCGGCGATTGTGTTGTTCGTTGATACATATAGATAAATGCAATCATAGTAGTGAGCCATATAACATGCCAATTTACGATCATTTATGAGCGTACTTGTTTGGCCTAAGATACCTATGGAAGTGATAATCATTGCTATTAAAATATTGAATGGTTCGGTTGATTATTGAGTGTTGCACACATAAACATGTGATGTAATGATTATTAAGGATTAGCAAGTGAATGCGAGCATATAACTAAGATAAGCTATAATTACATTATATAAATAACGTGATATTAGTTTTTTTTTGTGATAGAGATAGCGCTAATGTAAGTAAATATGTTGATCTCCATGTAGTCTGTAGTAACCAATATATATATATATGACATACGTTTTATTTTAAATACGAAGAAAATATAGAATCAAGCAAATGATAAAAAATCGGAGCCCTTTGAATATCAAGTTTTTTTTTTTTCGAAATATTGAAACTTCGAGTATTACATTAATATAATTAATATTTATGATTGCATATATCATTTATAGAAATACACTAATTCGATACGTATCAATATACAATAAAAAAAAATTATCAGTCGCCGTACTAAATAATCATTTGAAGTTTAAAATAAAATTTTGAGATTATATAATATTAAAGAACACAAGTGAATAGAGTTACAACAATGCACTAATTGATAAATTTCACTAATTTTTTGTACAAAAACCAATAGCATCATATGTATGATCTGAACTACAATAGGTTAAGTTATCTCTTTTTTTTATCGGATACTTAACACAATTTGATATCAAAATGCACAACTAAGTATATGTCTATTTCATCAATCTATGATAAAATAAATTGAGTTACGATGAATATTATTTGTTTTTTTTTTTTAATTATTAAACAAACTAAAATGATAATCAAAAAGAGGAAAAAAAAACATTCAATATCTAATTCTATAAGTCCATAATTGAATTGAAAATAATTCGTTTGTTTTTAGTTTGAGTTCGTTTTTTTTTCTTCTTATTGATGACTTGAACACCAGATAATAAATTTAATCAATGAATCAATAGACATAATAAAAAGACAAAGAAGAAAAATTTTTATACAATATTTGATATATGATATAGCATTATTGTATTCATCATTTTCACGAGGTAATGAGAGACTTCGATAGATGGCTTTACGAAAACAGATATGAGCTATGCTGTTATGTCGACGATTGATGATGTCATCACTGATACATAAATATAAAAGAAAGATAAAATAGATATATATTCAAAAATATCATTATGACACAAATAATTGACATGCCATTTTCTTTTGAGTATGAATTCTAATATAAAATACTTTTAAAATTTAACTTTTATTTTATCACAAGATCTATATAGTCATAAGTATACTTTTATATATTCGTATTAGTTTGTCCGATAGAAATACAAATATATTATTCTAGCATACTAAAAACAAAAGTTTATTTGGATATTTGTTCATTAATGATCTTAATTATTACAATGTTGAATGAATCAACATGATACTAAACTTTTGTTTCAAGCATAGAAAAGTCGATTCGGAAATCTTGATTTATTTTGTATAATATTTTTATACTAATAAATAATCTTGTCGAAGTATCGTTATAAAAGAAAAAGTACAGTAAAACATTTTCATCAAAATGTCTATAAATGTTTCCTTCTGACTCATAGAATAAGGAAGGTTATCAGTCAGAAAATCTCCATCAGCAAATTAGTCGTTAATTATTAATATTGAAATAATGAACTATGTGGGAGTTAATCTATCGTTACGCATCGCGAACCTATTTTAGCATTTTCTAATATTTAATTGGATACATGTAATCTATTTACTCGATATAATCAGTGTCCTGCATTAATGCTATCATCAATATACCTAAGACAGTCAATTAAAATTCTTCTATTTCACGTCGGAAAACATTAGAATGAAAAAATAAAGAAAACTACTGAAAAATCGATCACTATGTAGTACAATAAGAACTGATAGAGTCCAGCAGTTTAGAAAAGTAGTCAAAATTATTCATGCATGCAAAAAATTTCTTAGTCAAATTAAAGTACCTTTTCAATTACAACGTTTGTTTTGCGTGTGAAAATTTTTCTAACGTATAGAAAGAAGCAAAGCATGATATCGGCTATATCCATTTAACAAATTAGATAATTATTTGATCTTTAAATAATTTCAATTTGAATTCTTAATACCTATTAATTGCTTAACATATCTAACTGTTGGATAATATTCGTCTTCATCATATGGCTATGAATCCAAAAATAGTTCGTGCCATTAGCCTTTTGTTCTCAAGTTACGGTCATTAAAATAGCTCCGATAGTTCTTATAATATCCTGAAAGTGGCATCTCAAAGAGACGATTTCTTCTTAAAATATCGTCTTCCTTAAAACTCGATTATTTTTGGAATCTATATGTGAAGGTAACATTCTTTGTAACTGTGTTATTCCAGAAGGAAAATATCAGCTTGAGCTGGAACGTTCGATACATCAAGAAAACCATGAGAGTTATTGTTGAGACGAATTTCAGATCGAAATACCTTGTTGCAATTTTTCTCATAACATTCTGCAATTGATTGAAAGTTTAATGAAATCACCATAACTCAAGAAAAAAAGGTATGGATTCCTTTGTCTGTAGAAATTTCATTTAAATAATCATAACTTGTTATGAGTAGATCATGAGCCCAAATCCTTTTTAACTTTTCTTGGCCCTATCGGAACGTACTCATGTTCATCATATGAAGTCAAATTGTATCCAACAGTTAGATATGTTCTTTTCCTATAATATGAGCTAAAAAGATGAATTTATAGGCATCTTGAAAAGTGCATAGTATTATAATTTCACTGTATAAAGGTATTTCTATGAGCAGAAATTATTATACAAAATAGGTCAGAACTTCTAGATCATTTTCTATGGAATTAAACAACATATTTGTTTTTCTATCAAACAAATTCTTATAGTCAAATGCAAGTGAATCTCTCTATAGAATACAATAAAAACTTATTATAGACACGAACATATAGAATTAACTTTGTTTTCAGAGATTTTTCGTTAATTGCTTTATTTTTTGATATTCGTCAAATGAAAAACACACCTAAATTCTGTCCATTAGAAAAGAAAGTCATGGATAGAATTTTCTTTCGAAGAAAAATATTTATTTGAGTAACTTACTTATTTTTCTTTTTATTCTTACTAAGATTTTCATAATTTACATCAATACGATGTTGCAAATATCGAATATGTTCATTATTTAGATTCGAATTCATATTGTTCTTATAGAATTTTTTTGTTGTTTAGAAAGACAAGAGAAATACTTAATGCAACGAGAAAAGAAAACACAATGATAGACAACCGAGAATGTCTAATTGGATGTTTTCAATTATTAATTAATACTAACCTTGTCGTTTTTTTCTTTTCAGAAAAGAATTCAAAGAATTTATATATAAAAATTCAATAAAGAACATTTTTATTTATTCTTTCTTTTTTCGTAATTTTTTTTTTGTTAGATAGTTGATTTTTAAAAATGACAAATGAAAAAAAAATAAATTTCTCTTCTTCTTTCTATTAAGACAAATAAATGATTGTTTCTTTTTAGTTAGAAAGACAGAACACAAAAAAAAGCAAAGAATACAGAAGAAGAAGATGAATATTATACAAAAAATTGGCCATTATATACAACATTAAAAAAAAATATATATATACGATCAAAATTTTTTTTTTCGAGTTGGTAAATCAAAAAAATCGATATTATCTATTTGTTCTTCATCACTAAGAATAATTTCATTACCGCGAGAATTTTTTGATGTTGTCTAAAAAAAATTCAAATAAAAAATTTTAAGAAATAAAATTCTATGTTGTTTTTTTTTTTAATTTACACTTTTTTTTTGTTTATTTGATGATGATGTTGTTGATGCTATTCTTGATTTATTTAGATCCTCAAGAAGTGCATTATAACAACTTTGAAGATTTTCTTTCCGTAGAATTATTGAATCAGATAGAACAAATTGCTAAAATAAATAAAAAAAGATAATTCATAAGAAGAAAAGAAAAACAAATATAAATCACTTACTTTATGAAATGATTTTCCTTCAAGAATGCTTTTATCTGATTTCTCTATTACAGATTTACTTTTTGATCCTTTCGATTTTTTACTAGTACTATTTTCATCATCCATAGTAAGTGAAGCATATTGAATATGCATTAGATTACGTTGATCATCCGGAATATCACCACTAACAGTTGGATTATCTGATGGGTCAGTCGTTTTACATGTTGACTAAATAAATGTAATAAAAAAAAAAAAATAGAATTTCTTCAATTTTTACTGTCATACGTGTATGATTGATAAGTATTAAAACTCGAAAAATTATTATAAAAGATTAATTTCAATCGATAGAAAAAATTAGATGGATGATTTAGACGTCAGCGAAATCGATGGTTTTCAGGTCTGATTCCGTCTTGATCTTAATCATAAATAAAACATCGATCTCAGTCTTAGGTTATTGGAGTTTCGATTATAAAAGTTGGTCTCAGTCGGAAAATAAATTGGTCCGACTTCTCGTTAGAACAAACCTTTGATCTCACGAGGGAAGGTCCCCAGGTGCCACGCTCCGTTTTGAATCGGACATACGCCATTTTGTAGAGCTCAGTGAGACTAGCAAAAGCTTAAAAGGGTTCTTCCCCATGGGCCTTGGGAGTCGAGTTATGCCCTTTCTACTGAATTTTTGACCATTTTTTCGATATTGAGCAGTAAATCAAACAACGGAGTATTGATCTGAAATTTTGCCCATAGATAGGTCTAATCGTCTTTAAAACATCCTGAAAATTTCAGCTGAAAAGAATGTTCCTTTGTCGAGATATTGAATTATTAAAAAATCATCGCTTTTACAGACAAGGCGCAAAAAGCCAACCTACTTGAATATCCAATATCTCGATAAAGGAACATTCTTTTCAGCTGAAATTTTCAAGATATTCTAAAGACGATTAGACCTATCTATGGGCAAAATTTCAGATCAAAACTCCGTTGTTTGATTTACTGATCAATATCGAAAAAATGGTCAAAAATTCAGTAGAGAGGGCATAACTCGACTCCCAAGGCCCATGGGGAAGAACCCTTTTAAGCTTTTGCTAGTCTCACTGAGCTCTACAAAATGGCATATGTCCGATTCAAAACGGAGCGTGGCACCTAGGGACCTTTCCTCGTCAGTCAAAAATATAAGATTTTCAACAAAATACAGTTGTTTTCTTCTTAAAAATTGACTTTTGAATTCACACTTGACATAAATAAAACTTTCAATAGAACTAGTTCATCATAAAAGTATCGAATTCTTTTAATATGTTATATTCTCATATAGCAATATGAAAAAATTATGTCATAAGAGAAAGCAAGATATTTTTATCTTAGAATAGAACATATTAAAAAATTTGATATTATCTTAATTAAATAATCTCATTAGGAATTTCTCTTATGCAAATTTCGAATAAGTTTTACGTCAAAATACGATAGTCAATTTTACTGAAATGAATCAAAGCATTAGTTTAATACGCTTCGTAAAATACAATATATCAATAGATTCAAACTTTTGTCAGCGTATTCATAATTTCACAGTACACGGTTTTCGATTCAAACGTGATTCATTCATTACAGAACTTTTCTTGTAAGCAAATTTCATTTAAATCATATGAAGTAATCTTCGATAAGTTTTTCCCCCTTTCAATTGATTGATTTCATAAATATTCATTTATACTTATAAAAATAAAAATTTTCTCAATACTTTTGTTTCAGCTTGTTTTGATAACCATTGTCCACCGGTAACCAACACAGGTTTGACATGAACATAATCTTTCTATAAAAAAAAAACAAACAATCTTTATTGTTTCTGACAAACAAAATAATAAAATATACGATATCATTTTGTTGTTTAACTTGTTCACGTAATGATATAATATCTGTATCATCAAAAAACATTTTAATTTTTTTTTGTGTTGATTCAGTTTTTGTACTTATTGGTATTTTGAAATCATCCATAGTTGATGATGTTATTTGAGAAATATTTGTATTTATTCTTGTTTTAAACATATCTAATAAATCTGTTGTTTCTTCATGTTTTATTTGATGTCGAATTTTTTTTCGTGTATTATTATTATTATTAAAAAGTTCATCTATAGCTTTATTGTCATCATCATCAATTATATTACGTTTTATTTTACATGATCCTATTATATTTTTATTATCATTTTTTTTTATTAAATTTGTTGATGTTGATGGTTCAATAAAATCAAATACATCTGTATTATTTTGTTTATTATTAATATTATTTGTACGTTGACGTTTTATACAAGTATTTGTTTCAAATAAATCATCAAATTCATCACGATTATTTGTAGGTATTTGATTTATACGAGAACGTTTACTAGAACGAGTTGATGATGATGGTGATGATGATAAAAATAGGTCATCAATTTTTTGTTGAGTCATAATTTTATTAAGAACAAATAAATCTAAAAGAAAATCAAATGAAAGAAGATTATTTTTTCAGTTTTAATTGATAATAGACAATGTTTGATCTTTTTGTTTTCGTCTCCGATATTTGACCTGACTTATAGGTGTGTTACTTTATTCTTGCTCTGCTCTTAATGACAAGTTTTTTTTTTTTGTCTTATCATCAACTATATTATTTGTTCACCCATAAAAATACGTAAAAGTTTTTATTGTAGTGTAATGAATATTTTGTTTTGTCATCTTGCTCTTTTAATGAATTAATTATAATTAAAATGTAATATTTTAGATAATGCATGAATACTATTATATGATATGTAAGTTAACTCTTTCCGATATATATATATAATTATTGGCAAATTTTTAATTTTTTTAATGACGATAAAGTCATATTTCTTTTTTATCTATTTTATTTAAAAGAAAAAACTATTTCAAAATTGTTTTTTTTTCCTTCATAAAAAAAAAACAACTAATACTTCGAGAGGGAAAAAAGAAACGAATTTCATAAATAACTTTTAAAGCTACGTCCATAATTCAAAATGATCCATTTTTAATTGAAAATTTATAAACTATGGATTTCTGTTCTTGAGCGCCATCTGTATTCATATTTATAATTATCTTTATTAATACATTAAAAAAATTCATCTAATTAAATAGATTTTACATTTATTTTGCGAAAATTTTAATGAAATAAAAAAAAAAAAACTTTCGAAAAACTTAACATAATAAAAAAAGACAAGAAACATAAAGAAAGACATTTATTTTATTTTTTTTTATCTCTTGTTCTTATTTGAGGAGTTTCGAGGTACAAATTTTCTAAGATATAAATGATTTATATATATTTATCTAATCATTTATGATCTATATAGTATAACGTAACCAAGGCAAAATCAATGTGTATAAAAAAAAACTTCTATATGATTTGCTAAATCAATGGTCCGATAAGAATCGACGAATAAATTCACCTTTTCTTTCATTTGTTGTTGTTTTTTGTTGTTTATTTGTCATAGCTTATCATAGGTTTTTAGATGAGAAATAACGTCTAGAAATTAAAAATTTCTATTGATTTGTTATGATTGAATTTTGTTGATAAAAACATATGTTTTTTTGGTGTTGAAAGAAAAACAAAAAAAAAAAAAAAAAAAAAAGTCGAAATCATAAAACGACAAGATATACGTACATATATATTTATTAATTAAATCACTTATTATTTTTCCTCGTACATTGTTCGACCTATCGAGCTGAAGCGATTTTCAGACGCACTCACTCATCTGCGACAAATGCCGTCGTCATCATCATCATCAAAGGATAAAGATAAAGAAGCTAAATCAAAAAAGGTATATTTCAATAACAACTTTATAGATAAAAACTCAATGAGTACTTTATTGTTATTCTTTTTTTTTTTTTTTCGTTTTCATAGGCGACCGTTGTCTCGAAAGCAAAAGGCAAAGATGATTCAGATGGAAAGACAACGGATGAAGTAAAGTTTTGAAAAATAAATAAATTGATCTTTTTTTTTTTTTTGTTAGACGAAAGGAAAAGATTCATCAATTGGTAAAACAACATCTTCATCAATTGCTAATAGTGGAACAATAAAATCAACTTCACGTCCAACTAATTCTCATTCAGCTCAACAACAATCTGATACTAATTTATCATCTCATCCACCTCAAACACAATTAACAAAAATTCAACCTATGGCTGGTGTACCAAATATACGTAAAGATAATCGAAGAAATTCATCACGTTTTAATATATCAAAAAATCGTGAACTTGTTAAATTACCTTTATTAAAAGAAGCAGCTGCTCATGAACGTGAAGCATTATTTGTACAAAAATTACAACAATGTTGTACTGTATTTGATTTTCAACTTGATCCATTATCGGATCTTAAATGGAAAGAAATAAAACGTGCAGCATTAAATGAAATGATCGATTATATAACATCAAATCGTGGTGTTATTACTGATCCTATTTATCCGGAAGCTGTTAGAATGGTAAATAATAGTAAAACTTAATTTGATATTGTATTTATTTATTATTTTTCAGTTTTCTATTAATCTATTTCGAACATTACCACCCGTAAGCAATCCAACAGGTGCTGATTATGATCCGGAAGAAGATGAACCAAATCTTGAAGTTGCTTGGCCGCATTTACAACTTGTCTATGATTTCTTTTTACGTTTTCTTGAATCACCAGATTTTCAACCAAATACAGGAAAAAGATATATTGATCAAAAATATGTTCTTAATGTATGAATATAAAAAAAAATTGATTTAGGGGGAAAAAATTTTGTCTTTTTTATTTAGTTACTTGATTTATTCGATAGTGAAGATCCACGTGAACGTGATTTTTTAAAAACAATTCTTCATCGCATTTATGGCAAATTTCTTGGTTTACGTGCTTATATTAGAAAACAAATTAATAATACATTTTATAAGGTAAAAAGGAGGAAATATTACTTTGAATACTCTTTATTTTATTATATAAAAACATAAATAGAATTGTTTTTATTACCAATCATAAAAAGAAAATCAGTTATTTCTATAAAGTTATTATTTATATAAATTAACGACATTTTTTTTTGTCAAATAATCAATGAATAAACAGTTAAAGATAAATATAATGCATTGACATCTATTAAACATAGAATATAATTGTTTATTTATAAAAAAATATAGTTTTGTTTCTCATAATAAATTAATCATTAAATATTAATGGAAAAAGAAAATTAAAAGAAATGCTTTATTGCCAAAACTTTTCCTTTAATAGAAGACAGTTCTCCTTTGAGGACCAATGCGTTGGCCTTAGGGATGTACAATATTGACCTCCGTCTTCGCTGCAACATTCAAATAACACTTCTATCAAAATGTGCCCTTTTGCATAGCAGTATATCACAGTGAACAAATTGGTATCAATAGACTGAAACTATACATTCCTAGTCGGACTTAATAGAATATCTGCTTCGATTTATCGATCAACTGGAAGGATATAAATGGGACTGAAGAAAAGACTGATATATACTCAAGCATATCCATTTTCATTCATTGATCTCTTAATAGATGTCATATTTACCTTCATTTATGTTTAACATGTTCGAGAAGAGTTTTTTTTTAATTATGCTCATGGGTAAAAAATTCTCTAGAGGAATGTTCTATTGTATTTTATTTATTTAGATAATTATTAGTTCAAGAAGCCAAAAAGGTTAGGAAAGAGATTTATACACTTTTACAAGAACTAGACATAAGTTTGAGCACAATATAAAAAATTTTGAAAACTAAGTGATTTTAAAAAAATGTTCTAACAACAATGCATTTCGTATCAAAAATACTTTGATCATTAGCAGGAAACTTTTCTTCACAACCCTAAGAAAATCGGTGTTAATATATCACCGTTGTCTATCATCCCATAAAATAATGAAACTAGATGGTCTAAAACATTGAGCACACAACGTACTATGTGTAAACCTCTGAATATAGCCAACCATAGAATGGTCTTGGACAAATTAAAATCAATGCTGACATTCATCTGCTCTTGTTATTAGTTAGTGTGTATAGTAAGCGCAAGAACTCTATGTCAGATCTACAGCTATTTATAGTTGTAAGGAAGATATCAAGATATTGAATTTGCTGCTAGGCACCCTCTCATATTGAAAGACAATTTAATTCTCCGTAGTTGTATAACATTTGGGAATGATCGTTTTAGTTTAATCTTTAGTAGTTCAACAAAAAAAAAAGAGAAGAAATTCTTCATGAAATTCAACTCGATTTTTTTTTTCTTTTAGTTTATTTATGAAACTGAACGACATAATGGTGTAGCTGAATTACTTGAAATTCTTGGAAGGTAAAAAAAACATACAACGAAATAAGGATTTAAAAAAAAAACAGAAACCAATTATTTATTTTACTATTTAGTATTATTAATGGATTTGCATTACCATTAAAAGAAGAACATAAAGTATTTTTAATAAAAGTTTTATTACCATTGCACAAAGTAAAAACACTCAGTGTTTATCATCCTCAATTGGCATATTGTATTGTGCAATTTCTTGAAAAAGATCCTAGCCTAACTCAACCGGTATTTAATTGGAAAAAAAATTGTTTTGTTTTGTTTTTTTTGAATTTTAGTTTCAATTATAAAATAGGTGATAACGGGTTTATTAAAATATTGGCCAAAAACTCATAGTCCAAAAGAGGTTATGTTTCTCAATGAATTAGAAGAAATTCTTGATGTTATTGAACCAGCTGAATTTCAAAAAGTGATGATTCCTTTATTTAAACAACTTGCGAAATGTGTATCAAGTCCACATTTTCAAGTTAGTGTTTTAATAAATAAATAAATTTTCTTTTTATTATTATTATTATTATTAGGTAGCTGAAAGAGCACTTTATTATTGGAATAATGAATATATAATGAGTTTAATAACAGAAAATGCTGGTGTTATTTTACCAATTATGTTTCCAGCTTTATATAAAAATACAAAAACACATTGGAATAAGTAAAATTCTTTTCTTTTCTTTATTTTATTTAAAATTTTTATTAAAATAAAATAGAACAATTCATGGTTTAATATATAATGCATTAAAATTATTTATGGAAATGAATCATAAATTATTTGATGAATGTTCACAAAAATATAAAATGGAAAAACAAAAAGAAAAAGAAAAATTACGTGATCGTGATACAGCATGGATGAAAATTGAATCAAAAGCAAGACAAAATCCAAGTGTAAATTCAATTCTATATAAATAATATATTAGTTAAATATTACTTTTTTTTAGTATAAAAATTTTGCATCCAATCAACCAGAACTTTATCGACCTAATGATAATGATGATGATGATGGTGGACCTACGAATATAACAGCAAAAGAAATTGAACAAGAAGCTAAAGAAGTAGGCGAATAAAAGAAATTTGAATTTTTAAATAATAAAATTAATATGTACTTTCGATTGACTGACAAGGGAATATATGCGCTTGTCGAGTACTATTCGATCCGCATACTTTTGTTATAAGTAGAACTTATGACGGAAGTGCCCGGGGTATCATTCAGTTCCGTTTTGACTCATTCAATAGAGATTATTGAAATGTGACAAAGTCTAAAGAGGTCAAGTTCATGACATACTGTCAAAAAGTTATGATCCTTTTAATGTGATGTTAGACATGCCGGAAAAATCAAAATGACGAGTTTTTATGTGTAATTTTGCCTATGGATAGTTTCAACGGAAATGAACATGTCTTTCTCGAGATATTTAATTTCTAAAAAAGGAATGATTGTTGGTCGTAAGAGAACATAACAATCTACTTGACATAGCAATTAATTATTTCGAGAAAGGTCTATTTCTTTTCGCTAAAACTTCTAGAACTAATCAATGTCTATTAGATCTATCTACAGGAAAATTTTCAACTTAAAATTGTTCATTGCAGTATTTCCGAAATGCTATACTCGCAGTCAAACAGCCGTAATTCCTCGTCAGTAGGTCATGAGCTCAAAACCTTTGAGATTTCTTCTTATCTGAATATACTGTATCAAATGAATCAAACTGAAATTTGATACCTCTGTTATTTTCCTCGTCACTGAAATTCAGAAAGTTGTAAATGGACTCTGGTCTCTGCATTACCTAATCAGACTTATGATCACTTTTTGATCTTTCATGGAAAATTCAATTACAAGATTTTTATCTGGAGTTGTGCCCATTGATGGATCTGACGACCAACAGAATATCTTAAAAATTTCAAACCAAACGAATGTATTATTTTTGAGATATTAAGTATATAGAACGATAGAGCAAATCATACTATACAAAAATCAGACATTACTGAGTTCTCTGTGATATTTTTCGGCTCAGATACAATAATTTGATTGAAGTTCAAAACAAATGTGTTTTGTATAGGAAATTGAAAGAAAATGACTTTAGGAAGTTCCGTAAAATTTCTGTACCTGAGTGAAAAAGCGTCACACAGAACTTGACAATGTTTTATTTTTTATAGAATTGTTTCCTTTTATCGTTCTATGTAATCTAATAAAAATTATATTTAATACACTCTAGGTGTTAAAAAAACTATCGTTTTCGATTTTCTGAAGTTCGTCTCTTTAGAAATGTGATCATAATTTCTATTGACTTATATTCCTTTTTGAAAAACAATTTTTTGTATTCACTTTTTTTTCTATACTCAATATTTAAAGAATGTATTTGCTTGAGGTGAAATTTGTAGGACATTCAAGTGGCCATGAAATCTGTTTATACAAAACATTTCAGATGAAAAAAAATAGTTGGTTGAGAACCTACTAAAACGATCATAACTCTGATTGAGTAACTCGTTTACAATTTTCTTAATTTTACTATGTAGCCAAAATATAAAGTTAAATGGCATTTGAAAATGAGGTATTAGTAGAACTTCGTAGTTAAAGTGTTCGTGCACTATGATATAATGCAATATTGTTATGCAATTACATTTTTTTTTCTAGAGAAAGAAATTATATATACTTTTTGTCATGGTACCCTTTAATCATTATAATGCTTCCTGATAATTAGTCTAATCAAAAATTCTTCGCTTGTATAATCTTATTTATAATGTATGAACAAATAGTTCATCTATAAAATATTAGTTTTGACTATGAAACTAAACAAAAGCAAATATTATTGTTTTGTTTTTTCATTGTAGTAGAAAAATATTTCGAGATTTATTAAATTTCTTAATTACAAATTTGGTTTCTAACAAAATGAACATGTATGACTTTAAATATACTATTAAATCAAAAAAAAAAAGAAAGCATCCGACAGTTTTGTTTTTTAATGAGACGACTTTTAAATAGTAGATGAATAAAATAAGAAACACTATGCTTTTTTTGAATTCTGTATACTATAGACATTTTGATTTATATTAATCTTGAATATTCTTATGAAAAAGCTGTTTGCGTATGGTTTCGGTTGAGTTAAAATGTAAAACACGATATAACTGTTGTTACTAATCATATAGAGATTGTTTTATGTTATCTATTTCGAGGACGTATGTCTTCACTGTCCTTTTACTTAAATGTTTAGAAACGCAATAAGGAAGTAATTCATATATTATAAACGAGATGTTATTGATATACAGTCTGTCATCGTATATCAATGACGCCTGTCACAATCTGTGATGTTTACATTTCAATGTCTGTCACGAGGTGTAGAGTCCAAATTTCAACTCCTTTTAAATTTTATCGAAGAAGGTCATTGGATATGTCTCTGTTTTGTTTTATCAAAATTAACAATTTAGAAAGTAAATACTTGAGTTTTTAATACATTTTTACATGAATCGATAGATTTCGACGAACTCTACAAAACTGTCTGTATTTAAATTTTTTAGAACTATTTTCTGGGAGTAAAATTTGTAATAAAATTTTGATTTTTATCCTTTTATAGTATAAAAAAGATTCTTGACTTTTCATATAGAACAAACGAAGCATGCAATTATTTTGTAATCTTTTTTGTTCCAGAAGAGAGTTCTAAAAAAATTTTAATCTAGACAGTTTTGTAGAGTTCATCGAGATCTACCGATTCATGTAAAGATATCAAAGAAAAAATTATTTGATCTTCATCTTACTCAAATTCATAACAATCATATCATTTTGTCTTTTTTTTTGGGTAGTTTTTGTTGTAGTACTGAAGTTTGTTTTTTTTTCGTATGTTTTCGATTCCATTTCAAAAATATGTATACATATAGTACTCGAGCTTCGCTATCTGAAAGTAAAAAGAAATTAAAATCTATGTCGTGTATTTTTGAAATGCCAACCAAAACAAAAAAGTAATGCGAGACTTTTGATGTCCACTGTAATTCAGATTTGCGTCAAAATGTTATTGTGTTCACAAAATCAGAAATTTCGGAGGCGAAGTTTGAAAGTCATAAGAATTCGACCTCAATCTATGTCTAAATATTTAACATAACGTTGTGTAGCAGCATAGCCAAATGAAAGTGAGTCCACCCATAGTTAGTAATTTCAATCGAGCATGTGGATATGACTTATTTTCTTTCAAAAACAAACTTCTTCATACAAATATTAGTTTTTTGTAATCAAAAATAAGATTAATGAAAATACTTTAGCGTAATCCTTATGTTATGAAAAAAAATGGAGGTCAACTTTACTGAAGATGTCCTTTCAAAAACTACTGAGTATAAGAAGGAGAATTCTTTTATTCAGATTGAAAACTTTTCTTATAAATCAATGAAAAATAAGTCTTAGTGTCAGACTATATATCGATTTATTGCCCAAATCTTAACATTTTTCAAAAAAATCATATTTTTCTTTAAAAGTTAATCGAAATGTGTAAGTTACTATCCGAATCTCGAAAAAATTTACTCTCATTTTTTTAATTAATGTCCATGTTATTGCCAATTGTGCTTCTGCTTCACACGACGAACATTTTTGCTAAAAGTGAATATCGCACTTTTTCAAGATTTAAATATACGAAAATATATTTCGAAATGTAGTCTATCTAATGGAATAAACAATTTTGTTACAACCCTCAAAGACATTGAAAACCGTAATATCATTTCAATTTTCAAGTCGAGCTTTTTACAAGGATGAAAAAATATTTTTTCTAGAATGTCATTCTAACAGCTAGTCTCGTAAAATGAGCAATCCAACATTCAAACTATATCACAATTTTCTTCTATCTACTGTCTCTAATTTCAAATTAGCGCAAACTTAGATTTTTCAGATATTTTTCTGACTTTGAAAAAAATAGTATATTCGGAATCAACACATTAAACAGCATTGTATGATGTATAGCATTAAAAACTTTTCTCGAAAGAATGAGGATAACGATCTCCTCAAGTATGGTATGGCCTATGCTATCATTTTTGAGTAACAAAGTTACATGTTCAACTGTCATGCGACAAATGCATACTGTGCCTCTAGAGCTCGTCGTGTCGGTTCTAAATCCGGATCCCGCGGACTCTAATAAACTTCCCCGTCCATTATTTAAGACTCTGCACAGAATCAACTAAACTTTTTACCGCAAATTTAGTTGAGTCAGTGCAGGACTTAACTAGTGTTAAATCACATACAAAAGAAAACAATTGATAAACTTTTGCGATAAAAAAAAAAAAAACATATCACAATTCTGTAGTGATTTTTCTTTGGTACAATGAATTCTAATTTATTTCGGAAAGAATCTTATACAGTCAATTATCGAAACAATTTCCTATATAAACACATACTATTAACAATAGATTATTTTTTTCATCGGATGATTCATTTCATTCAAAGATTTTTTTTTTCTTAAATCTTCACTGGATTATTCATCATAAATGTTGATTAGTTTTCTGAATCTTTTTTTCTTTCATTTTTAGGCAAGTCGTACTATGCAAAAAGGTAAACCAATGATAAGACGCAAGAGTGAATTACCTCATGATTATACAACATTAAATGCATTAGAAAAACATAAACGACCGAATGATTTTCTAAGCTCAGCAACAGAAGCAAATCCAAATGCTCAATAAATGAAATATTAACACAAAAATAGCGCATTGGAAAGCACAAAAAAATAAAATCTAACTACTTTTATGAGTTTGTCTAGCCAAAAGAATTCTTTTTTTTTTTTTTTTTTGTACAGAATCCAAGATACAAAAAAAAATTAACAAGCTGAGAAGTTGAAATTGAGCTTCTCGCCTAGGATTCATGTTTGTTTGGTTGTTTTTTTTTTTTTCTTCTTTTTAATGTACGTCATCACATGTCTTTTCTCTTTTTTCGCTTGTATTTTTCTACGCACATATAGACGTCATGCTTTGTTCCCTTTTTTTTCTTTTTTTTTTTTTTGCTCGAATAGGCGAAGCCAATAAGATTTATTTCTTCCTTCTTTTTTTTTCCTTCCTTCCCTCCATTAAACCTTTATTCAAAAAACACACCCAAAGATTTTGTCTTCTTTCATCGAACAATTGAATAATCAATCTTTTCTTTTTACTCGAAGAGAAAAAAAAATCAAAACAAAAAAAAAAAAATCTAAGAAGATCTGTTATTGTCCGTGTGGCTTGTGTGATCATCTGCATTTGTTGCGTGCGTGTGTAATACATTTTTTTTTCAGCTTACATTTGCAAACAAAAAAAAAAAAAAACCAACAACATAAATCTTTTATTATAATGTTCATTCATTTTTTTTTTTTTTGATTATAGATTTTCTATTATCATCGTCCTATTGTCAGATTATATATTTTAATGTTTGTTTAAATAGAACAAAAAATAAAACTTCAAGATTGTTTTTTTGTTTTCTTTTTTGTGTCTTTGGTAATATATTACGATTTATTTATTTTGTTTATTTATTTATCTATAATGGTTGATACAGTGACAACAACAATGGGCAATGATAATGATGATTGGGAAGTTGCTGTTGATACAGGAGAATTTGATAAACGACTTGAACAACAAGAACAAGATCGTGCAGTTAAACAAGTAAATTTTTTGTTTTATATTTAATATTAATGCAAAAAAAATGTCATAAAGCGAAAATTTTCGATCATATATTTTGACTATGTTAACCTCAAAGAAACGTCAAATAGACGTGGGTATATACATTACCAAATCAGAGTTATGTGTGTTTCCGACTTCAAGGTAAACTATTTATGGAAAATACTATTATAAGATTTACATCTGTATTTTTGCTCATCATGATCAGTAGAATGTATTAAGAAGTTCAACGCAAATAAAGTGTATTCTTCTTGACATATTAACTATCTAAGATAATTCGATTCGATGATTTGTCTTGTGATTAGGATATTCAATATCGCAAAAAAATTACATTCTTTTGGAATGAGCAAAATTTCAAATGAAAATCTTGTAAAATTGTAAGTTCTATTGAGTCTTAATCATAACAATAATATAGAATTGAATGGTATCGAATACTTGGATATGTTCCATGGGCAGTAAATTAATTATTTACTTGACCTTCCGGTCAGGATTACGTATAGGTGCGATATAGCCGAACCTTTCGCTTTCTAACACCTTCTTCGAAATTTCTGAAAAATTAATCGGTTTTTCATGTCCTTCCATCCTCAAAATCTATCAACAGGCTCTACTCTTAACTTAAACATTTCATAGCATCGCTCTATGATAGTCTTATGTTCTGTATAAAAATATACCGAGATTTTTTTTTTTTTGCATAAATTTGTCTTAGTTTTTACGAATAGATTCATTTTATCAGTAGTTGAAGAAAGTCTTCTGTCAATATGACGTTACAATAAAAGGCTACAATACACTCGAAGAAATTCATGTTCAAGAGTATTTTGTTTCAAGTATCAATTATTTCATTGAGTTCTAGAGCATTTTGAGACAAAGATTTTATAATTCATATTTACTCAATACTCTTCCTAAATTTTTTTTTAAGCTTAAATTAAAATATGAGTTAGAAATAGAATTCATTCTATCAAAACATTTTTCAACTTGCATTCAAATGACCTCTATTCTCTGTTGATCTAAATATAAATGTTCAAAAAAAAAAAAAAAACAATCGATTGATTGAACTAATATATTTAATTTTATCTTATCTATTTAAAGGAATCTATATCATCTACGATTAATAATGATGACAATCGAAATTCTTCTAATAATAATTTAATGAATTCAAATAAACCAATTCGAATTCTTAAACGACCAACCAGTCAAATTCAATTACCTGTTACTAATGATATAATTAATTCTAATACAACATCAACAACAATAGTATCAAATAATACAAATAATAATAATAATAATTCGCCTTTTTCTAATAATATTTCTTCATCAACAACAGTGCCTACTATAACAATCATTCCAAGAAATCAAAATAAAGATTCAATAAATTCTTCACAGACAATAAATTCATCTAATTCTTTATCTTCACAATCAACAAAACCTCCTATTAAAACTTATGAACAACGAGAACTTGAATATAGATTAGCAAGATTACGGTAAATTTTCATTTACATAAAATTTTATTTCAAAGAAAAACACAAAACTAATCTTTTTGTTTTTTTAGAATCATGGGTGAAGAAGAAAGTTCAATTAAAGATGATGATGATATTAATAATAATAATCCTACTAGTGATTCTACTACTATAACATCCGATGAACCAACTAAAACTACACTTCCATCTACCACAAGTCTTACATCCACCAAGACATCGGTTTCATCACTTCAAAGTCATTCAACACCAGGTAGTTATGCTTCAAATCTATACAATTTAAACAATACTTCATCAAATACTGGACTAATTCATTTTAATCCAAATACAAATAGTACGGGACCTTTTTCTCAACAACAATATCGTGGTGCTTATTCACCAGTATATCCTCAAATGCCATTAGCATCATCAGTACGTTATCCAACTGCAACATTCTATATGCCGCCATCATCATCACCGAATTATCCTATACAATCATCATTGAATAGTTGGTATCATTATCAACAACAACAACAACAACAACAAAATCCTTATGGAACAACACAGTATGGTCATCCGCAATAGACAAAAATAAAGGAAAAAAAAAATGTTTGTTTTCTCGTTTATTTATAAAAGAAATTATTCGTCGGTCTATCGACAACAGAAAGAAAAAATGTTTTATTTTTTACAGTAATATTTTGTACCTGATTGAGGGGAGTCGCAGAAAAAAAAAATATCGAAAGCTAAAACATATATTAAGAACAACGGGGACAGGATGCTTCATTCTACTTTCTTAAATCTATAAGCTGTTGCCATTGTGATTTGATTTCATCTTTTTTTATCGTCTATACTCATTTATTGTAAACGAAAGGGCAAGTGTAAGACATTCTGGCCTTCATTATTACTTTTCGATATTTTCATTTTCTACGTTTTCTACCAAATACTTTTATATATGTCTCGTCGTTATTATTTTTTTTTGTTTTATTAAAAAAAAAATAATTTAACATTTTCATTTATAAACCACAAAAGACAATGATATTTTTCTTTTTTATATTCATCAAAGGTAAGTTGTATCTGACACCATAACTATTTTATCTTTGAAAGACAAAGTAATATACATGAAAATTTGAATTAAATTGTAAAATATAAGTGTTTTTTATTTCAAAATTCTAATCATATTAGTTTATTTACATAAATTTATATATTTCGGAAGTTTAATAAAAATAATTTAACATTCTCTTGAATTTGAAAAATACAAACATATTACGTTGTCAGTAAGTGTCACCAGACATTGTCTTGTGTAATATAGAATTTAAACAAATAATGATAGTTTGTTTTTCTTTTTTTTTTTTTTTTGCTTCTTCTACCCTTAGTCAACGATCTTGCATGTCTATTAATATATTATATACTACAGTTATATTAAGTATAAGCTTCAACAGATTTCTACAAAAAAATCTCTCATGTCATATATCTAATGCACCAATTTTTCTTTAGAACAATTATAGAAAAACAATTCTTATAATATATTATGCTAGATAATAGAAAACGAAAAGGAAAAATTGTTCTTTAGCATTTGATGAGAAACAACAAAAAAAAAACATGTTTTATGATAATGTGTATTTTGCGCATATTATATATAAAGATAGACATCATCAAGGTTACTTATGGTTTATTTCTGTCTAAGCAAAAGGTTCTCTGGACTTACTTTAATAGGACTAAAATATAAAATATAAAATACGTAATATTTCTTAAGTGTAATAGTATACATAAAAATCATAAAAACGATAAGTTTATTGAGATATAATCTCTTTTCTGAATACAATAATACTGTTCAGATAATCTTCTAAATATTTTTAGAATTATTCAACAATATAAAATGAAAAGTGATTAATTATTTAGATGAAGAAATCTATAAAATTTTAGAATATATCTATATTTATTTTTGATTTAAATTCTTTAAAATATTTTAGGTCTTGTTTTTATGTATATCATTTGTATAGAGATATATGTAACATAAGTTAGGTTACAAACACATTTGTTATACTCAGCAAATGTTTTGTCACGCGTTGAGGATATGCGTACGCGCGTGATATTATACACATCAAAACCATACATCATAATACACAAAAAAAATGAAACAGATATCTGCCATTTAGTTTTTATTTTGATTGATTATATTGGTTTATCTTTTGTGAAAATTATTGTGAAATATAAGTTATTTCGATTTCTATTTGACTCTGAAATAGAGAAATATACAGCTATGAATTTTTCTTTTTTTTTTCAATGAAAACACGTTTTTTTTACAATTACGAAATGATGATGTTGATGGTTTCATCATCCGATGGACTTTGATCTCTTGTTTTCTACTGTCGCAATTATCATAAAGGTAACTAACTATGTATCATGTATTCAATTCGTGACTGACTTACATTTATGAAAATGTTTCTGCAATATAAATAACTTGACTAGAGTGACTGATTGTCGTACTACAAAAATATGTTTATGTATCCTTGATTTCTATTTTTATCTCATCTAACATTAGTGGCCAAGGCGAAGTAGGATTATTCAAAAAGAGTGTTTTCTGCATAT